AAGATGGGGCATGACCACCGCTCCTGCACCAACCCCGAGAAAGTACTTAGGTCCACTGCCGCTCAACCTGTTGCTGCCGTCCAATCAGAAGATATAATAGAACTTGAAGCCTTAAACTATGTAAGTATTGCTTTATTAATCGATTCGGGGAGAAGTGCTGAGTTTAGAAAATTTTCCTCTCTTTTCGACACCGGCAGTCCCATTAGCTTCATAAGACGATCCTGTATCTCAGAATGTGCTGCTAAGACGGACAGGCCAACGAGCGATTATTTCGGTATTGGAGGTCGAAGACTTAATATTCTGGAAAACATTGATTGCCTTATCAAATTTAAACGCCAGTCAAGAAAAATTAAAATATATATTCTGCCAGATGAAGAGATGCTTTTGCCGATAATTCTCGGTCATGACTTTTTAAACTCATTCCAGATACGTTAACAAAATTGAATTATAAATACGATAAAAATGAATTACTTTCTATGAACAAAAAGGAAATTACTAGCACTTCTCTCCCTTTCGATTTAACAATGATTCTTGATACACATAGCCTTTACAAACGTAGCAACGGGTAAGAAAAGAGAAACGCTGAGGAAAAAAACGCCAGTAATGAAGGGTGTGACGCCAGCCGCAGTATAGTTTCAGAGATGCTAGAAATATTTAAAATCGAAGTAGCTTCTTGCGATTCCGAAGTAGACGTAGCTCATATGTTGGCCCCCACCTGCCGTAAGGAATTAAATAATTTTATCTTGGAGTCGTACGTAAACTCAAAGGCCCGAGTAGAGCCCTACGACTACAAAATTAAGATTCACCTGACGACCACGGTCCCATTTCATTGCTCACCACGCCGATTTTCTTTTGCAGAGCGGATAGACGTTCAGAACATTTTAAATAATTTAGAGTCCCAGGGTATAATGCGACCCAGTACCTCCCCTTACGCCTCAGCCATTGTACTCGTTAAAAAGAACGGACCGATGCGCCTCTGTGTAGATTATCGCGGCCTAAATAAAATAACCGTTCGTGACAATTATCTCCTGCCGCTTATCGATAACTGTTTAGAATACCTGGAAGGGAAATCTGTATTTTCTGTGCTGGATTTGAAGAGTGGCTTCCATCAAGTTGAAGTCTCTCCGGAATCGGCACTGTACACTTCCTTTGTAACACCTACTGGACAGTACGAGTTTCTAAAAATGCCGTTCGGGCTTAAGAATGTGCCAGCAGTATTTCAACATTTCATTAACCACATTTTTAGAGACCTCGTTGACGCAAGGAAAATTATTATATACATGGATGATATCGTGGTAGCCACCAAGGACTTTGAAGAGCATAGGACATTATTACGAGACGTTTTAGAACGTATTAAGACGCGGGGTTTAACGCTAAATTTAAAGAAGTGCAAATTCGCCTACAGACGAATAGAGTACTTGGGGTATTGCGTGTCTCCAAATGGAATAACACTTAGCGATGGTCATATTAACGACATTAAAAATTACCCTATGCCAACTAATCACAAACAGCTACGGTCGTGCGTAGGACTATTCTCTTACTTCAGGCGCTTTGTGCCGTCATTTTCCACAGTCGCTAGGCCATTACTGAATTTGCTCAAGACGGGCTCCGATTATAATTTTGACGGAAAATGTGTCGCAGCATTTGAAAGACTGAAGGGTGAATTAATGAAATCCCCCATTCTGACGATCTATAGTCCTCTCAGGGAAACGGAGTTACACTGTGACGCAAGTGCGTTCGGGTTCGGGGCGGTATTATTACAGCGGCATGATGATAAGAAGTTTCACCCAGTGGCCTATTTTTCGAAAACCACGTCACAAGCCGAAGCAAAATATCATAGCTTCGAGCTCGAGACGCTGGCTATAGTCTATGCGCTGCGACGCTTTAGGGTATACTTAGAAGGGATACCCTTTAAAATAGTCACCGACTGCAATTCGTTAGCACTCACTCTCGAGAAAAAGCAAGTAAATGCCAGGATAGCCAGGTGGGCCTTAGAGCTTGAGAACTATAACTACAAGATTGTCCATCGTCGAGGTATTGGAATGGGACACGCAGACGCCCTGATCCGCTGCGCAATGGCAGCGGATACTCAGGTGGCCGACGTAGAATTTCAGGTACAGGTTGCACAGGAGCGGGACGAAGAAATTAAGAAAATACGCGAGCGCCTATAAAAAAA